AATATTGATGTTTTATTGCTTAGGGGTCTTGGTATATATGATACTTTGAACAGGTTATAAGGCTTCTAATTTTTGGGCAAATATGAGAAATTTAAAGTTAGACTAGATCCACTAAACAAGTGGGTTTTGGTATTTTCTTTTGTCTACCTTTTTGTTATAAAAGCTCTTTTTCTCCATGCCTCCCTTCACCCTATCTCTTTCTCACCCCGTTAGGGTTTTTTTTTTTTTTTTTTTTTTTTGGTTTAGGGGCTCCACAAATATTCTCTTGCTTGATATGAGTTTTTTGGGGGCTCTAGTACTACTCAAAGGTCAGCTGCTATTTTTGGAGTTTATCTTAGCTGAAGTATGAAAAGGTCGCTAGTTGGCAAAGTAGGATGATTGGCACAAAATATCACCATTGCACTGATAATTATAGGCAACTTGGTACCATTAAATCCTAAGAGAATCACATAAGTTAATCATATGATGTAATATGCATGTTCAGTCGTAGCAAGCTGTTTATTATTATTTATTTTTTAAAACATTAATCTTAGAAATAGTCTCTCAGGATTACTCTCAATCTCATTTCAGTCTCTGACTTTTAAAACGTCTTATTATTGTCCCCTGATGTTTTACTTTGTTTCCGTTATCTAAATGTTAAATATTTGACAAAATCTATGTAAATTAGGGACCAAAATTAAAACTATGTAAAGTTTAGAGACTAAAGTAATACAAAAAAACAAAAGATGATTTCCATAAATAGTCTCTAAAATTCAAATGTTTGTAATTTTAATTAGTCCCTATTTACACCGATTATGTTAAATATTTAATACTTGGCTAATTGAAGGACCGAAAATGAAATAGAGTAAAACTTCAGGGACCAAATGCTGGACGTTTTAAAAGTTAATGACCAAAGTGAGATTGAAAGTAACTTTCAGAGACTATTTATGAGATTAACCCTTATTTTAGTTTTTTTTTGTTTATTTATTTATTTTTTGTTTCTTTCTTGGATGAGGCTGATCACCAAAAAAATGATTAAGTAGTGTGGAGAAAGCCATGCATAAATATTATTCAAATAACGGACGTATTAAGAATATTTGTTCTAGTAGATATCAACCTAATTAGGTTGTGTTAGATTTTTTCGATATTCGTTTTCCTCTCTCTCAATTCATTAAAGAAAATAAAATGTTGAAAAATTGGGGTATTGTTATTTATGTTCTTAATTTGGCTACGTCTAACAAAAAAAGGACTTCAATATTGGTTTGGTTACTTTTAGAGATCAATTTTGTATTATCTTACTCAGCACTAAGTTTACAAAGTAGATATGATTAAAAAAAATTGACCCTAATTAGGTACAAATAGAATTGCATATGGCAGAAGGGACCGTTAGTAGGGCCAGATAAACATATCATTATTATTTGGAAAGTGAAGGAGGTTTTACTTATTTTTCAGCGTTGCACATGCCTTTGTCCACTTTCTATTATGTTTAGCATTTAGGAAATAAACCTCCAAGTGACGTTTGAGGTTCAACATAATTATTACTTATCAACAAAAGGTGATTTTAAGCCAAAAAAAAAATTGAAAAAAAAAAAAAACCGAAACCTTGTGTTGGATAAAATCAAAAGTTCAGAAACTAATATGTTGAAATTAAAAATTTAGTAACCATATTCAAAGTTCAAGAACTAACAGTGTTAATAACCCTACTTTTTATTTTAAACACAATGAGGTCAGAAAGTGCTAGTTAGGATGTGCTAGACTTGCTTCATGTTAGACGTTTTTTTTTTTTTTTTTGGTATGCCACCATTCAATTATTACTACTTTTGGGGAAGATAAAACTATTATTAATTCAAGATTAGGGTACAATATGCCATATTAACTTATTATGTGATGACATAATTAATATAGGTCATAGTGTACTACGGAAAATCTTGTACGGTTATTGTGGAAGATCACAAAAAAATCCTCTTTTAACTTTAAAGAAATTTGGAATTCTAGTGGAGCCATTGGGATCCACATGCACATTTCTACCTCTTGATAAAGGAAAATTAATGGAATTATTTTATTGACTAAACTGATTGCATGGAAGATCTAGATGCTAATAAAGTATAAACAATGCTTGCTTAGTGATTGGTAGGCCAATATCTTACTATTAGTAAGACTGTTAACTACTTTGGTCAGCATTGTTAATGGTCATAAAGTTAAAGAGAGAGCCGTATTTTTTTGACATTGACTCTAACTGCTAAGTTTTCCACGTTTGTTTTTCTTTATTTTTATGGGGTCGTCCTTTGAGTGAAAAGTCTCAAACTTTATTCGGATTTAAAGACCGAATTCGAACATATGCACTCCTTTTCCATCTCTCATGTTTTTTCTTTTGGGATTTATTGGTAGAGTGTTTTACTAAAGCATCCCATTTTCTTTATCCTAATCATTGTGCCGTCTATATACTTTTATCTTGCGATCACATCTTTCTCACTTTTAGGTTCTTCCCTCATTTGTTGATTTGTTTTTTAGGTTGTTGATTTGAATTCTAAGCCTCTGCGTTGTTTTGGGATGGTGTATTTTCTGCAATTATAATATATATATTTAATATAACTCCGTGACTATCTACTCTTATAATTTTATGTCACTATGCACCCATTTGTGCCTCGTTTATTCTGTAGCTATCTACTCTTAGAGTTTTATGTCACCATGCGCCCATTTGTGGTTCGTTCATTCGAGTTGAAAACTTAATTAAACTATGAATTTATGAGAGAGAAAACATTGTAATAAAAAAGGTTGAATTCGAATTTTTTGTGAAAAAAACAATAGGGGCCTTGATTTTTAACTTCTTTGGTTTACTTTTGCTGAAAAGAGAAAGGAACTATGGGAACTATGTATCTTTTTCTAATATATATATATATATATATATATATATTGCTCGTAAAATTTTGGTCGTTTACCTTTACACCTCTTTGTAGGAGGCTTTCAAAGACAAATGGAGAGTTTCAAAGCTCTCCTTGACTGGTATGCATTTTATGTGGAGTTTACAATTATTATTTAGTTTTTCTTTTTGTTTTTTAGTTCATTCCCAATCTTCTTCTTTTTTTTTTTTTATGCAGGTTCTGTAACGGTGTCAACTCTTGCTTTTGGCTCCACCAAGTTAGCACTCCAAGACGATTGAGATTTGGGATCTTAGTCCCCTAAGCAGATATTCATCTTAACTTGTATGACAAGATATTGACATTAAGCTGCAAATGTATATGCTTTCACTGTAATAAAAATAGAAGTCCTAAACTGTACCAATTGGGGTTGAGTTCAGGTTACAATTATCCAAAATTGACTAGCATGTTTCTCCTTAACTTAAAAAGTTCTCCGCGACTCAAACCAACACCTCTTCTTTCCTTTTTATTAAATCTTTTTTATCTTTTTGTTCTCATTCATTATTTTAGCACATTTGTTACAAATTCTGTTATAACAAACTATTAGGCAGAATTTTGTATAGGCTGGAATATGGTTTTTCTGTTATTCTTTTATGTTGCAATTTTTCCTTTTCTCCCTTGGTAATGTGCCTATATATTTGCTTGTACTCCTCTTTCATAATTAGAAGAATTTGTTCTGTTCTTCTCCCTTCTTTCTTCTAATACATTATTGTCCATGAATCATTATTCTTGTAATTGCTTGAATCAAAGATTCATTAATCTAATTTTCAGCTCATAAAAGTGAGATTCTTTTTCTGGTCATCTAGTGGTGCATGAGTGGAGAATGATTCATAGCATATTATTAAAGCAAAGCTTAAATAAAAATTTTGAAATAGCACTAAATTTTAAAAATTATAAAAACAATAAATTTACATTGAATTTCATTTATTTCTATATTCAAAATAAAATATTAGAGATCAAGGTATAAGGTGAAAAGAAATCCATAGTCTTTATATAGAGCATTGTGAGAACACATTTTCATTTCTTTTCAATGTGAAACTCTTGCATATTTGGTTTTTAAAAGTTTCGACACACACAAACTATAAGAAATGCCTTTTGAAACTAGAAACTATCACCAATGGCTTTGCAGCTTGGTGGAAAAAACCTAAAAGCTCTTTTTAACTTGGTGAGCGGTAGAGGCTTTTCAAGCTTGAAGCTTTGGAAGACGTAAAACATCAATATTTATATTTCGAGCTCACTATAAACGGAAAAAGATTACGCTCCTAACAAGAGCCTGTCGGCCTTTACCACTTCATTTTTCATCAGTTGATGAGAATCCACTTTATTGAGTTAAAAGTCCGTAATGCCATCCAAACTAAATAATAAACCACTGGTTTACTTTTAAGTAAATCAGTGGTTTAAAGTAAGTCACTGGTTTAATTTTTTTGAGTGAGCCATTGACTTGAATAAAGGAAAAAGAAATTTCTTCACACAATCACAGTTAACGTAAACGAGTGGTCCACTTTTGAACAAACCAATTCTTTAAAGAAGGAAAAATAAGAGCCCATTCACTTCGCTAATTCGAGTTTGTAATTCGAGTTAAGATGTGATTTTATATGAGAGCTTTTTACTGTAGCAAAAAAGTTAGATATGACTTTCTGATAACTTTTTACTGTAGCAAAACTCAAATTATAAACTCGAATCGGTGAAGTGAACGGAGTTTAAGTTTCTCCACCCAAATGGCAGCGGTAAGAGGGAGGCCACGATGGTCAAGAGTGCTCTCAAGAACTTAGTCCCAAATGGCAGCTCCAGTTGTACCCAGACATGCAAAATTGCAAATAAAGGCACTTGAGAAAGCCGGTAGCGCTTGCGTTGGTGAGCTAAAAAAACCATGAGGGGAGGCGAAAATCCCACCAGCAACGCACCATGGGCATCATGATGCAACTAGATGTCAACATTACCAGCTATGAGTAATGAACCGCCGAGATCTCGTACCCAACAAGATGCGACCAACGCAGGCGGCTCAAATTCATCGGCAACACCTCAGCACACTAGTGCATGCAAGCACACGACTAACAAGGCCTATTTATATAGCAGTGATTTAGTTAATCAAAAGAGATGCGATTAACTATCAAACCCCTTCACAACCCTCGACGATTTTATAAATTTGTGACGTAATTCAATTTGCAAATAATGACAAAAATCTCAAAATATCACTACTGTGTGTGAAAGCATTTCAAATGCTACACTCCCACAACCCCCCACCTCGCCTATTCCCTCGCAAAATTTAAATCTGATGGTGTAAGAAATGACTAGTTTTGGCAGGAACAATAAGCAGTGAAACCTTGTCATCAGAGATTACGGTATCCTATGCTCCTCCTGCAACTGCCAAAGAATAGCATTCGACAATCAATAAAAATCTCATGTAATTTAAAAAGATTTCTAATTAAGAATCAGTAGTAAGCAAACAGTCGTAACACCAAAGGTGAGAAAAACAAGGGCAGCTAAAAACCTTTTGTAGGAGCTTCATCTTGAGGCTTCATAGCCGGGAAGAGAAGTACTTCCTGTCCCCAAAAGTAAACAAACAGTGAGCGACAATCAACAGTATGACATCTTTAAACACGAGAAAAAATAATCATGATAATAAAACAAAAATTCAAGCGCGCACACCCCCATACACGCATGCAAAAAGTACAAGAGCAGAAACAAGGAAAAGACACAAAGAGAGGCACTAACCTTAATGTTCTGTGAATCAGTAAACAACATAGAGAGCCGGTCAATGCCCAATCCCCAACCACCAGTTGGAGGCAACCCATACTCAAGAGCTGTACAAAATGTCTCATCCAATGCCATTGCTTCGTCATCACCCGATTGTCGGTCCTGGAATCCAACCCCACCGTTTTGAGAACAAAAGAAAGAAAACTCATTCAACAATAGAATACTGGAGTGGAGAACTATGTGATACCTTGAGTTGTTCTCAAAAGAAAGAAAACTCATTCAACAATAGAATACTGGAGTGGAGAACTATGTGATACCTTGAGTTGTTCTGCAAACCTTTGCCGTTGAACCACAGGATCATTCAATTCAGTGTATGCATTGCAAAGCTGAGCCAGTAGAGAGATAATAATGACCAAAAACATTGTTAGAGATTCAAAAGTTGGACATGAATAAAGAACAATACGAATTGTAAATCAGACGTTAACAGAGCATACCTCACGTTTGTTAATAAACAACTCAAAACGTTCAGTCAGACCAGGTTTGGATCTATGCCATTTTGCCAAAGGACTCATAATCTCTGGATGGTTAATGATGAAAGTGGGGTTCACACACGTCTCTTCCAAAAAGTGTCCCACAAGCTGCAAGCATTGAAAAGCACATCAATCTCAAATCATGTGTTTCAAAAACTGGTGCACGCATCCCTATTTAGTGATAAGTCTGCAAAATGTTTATCAATAATACTAGGGGGCGGATTTTTCTTCAATAGTTGTTATTTTACAAAAGATCCTTGAACTTGATTAATTCAAGTGCCACAATTCAGTCACCATCACCCATAAAGTAAATACTAAAAGCAGAACTACAAGGAACCAAATTAGAAAGTGCAGAAACTAAAGGCGTGCTAAAGTTACCACCTAAGGCTCCCCCCCACCCCCCAGGAAAAAGGAAACAGAAAACGTGGGCCAAAAATCGCTTGGACTTTATTGATTCTGCTAAATCTATGCTCTGTTTCTCATGAAAGGACCCGTCATAGCACGCATATTAAATAATTCTATGAGATTTATTAGTTCAGGAATTAGTTGGGCGAATCCTATTGAGAAAAAATATACACCACCAGACACTGCTCATAGTCTATCTAAACACCCAAGCAAATCAAAGACTCATCTTTAAGGTCTCGGCAAACTATAGCATATAGCACTAGAACATAATTTACGCCACTAATATCCTGTCACTGCTCCAGTATTTTACAGAGAGAACTTCAATATATAAAGAGAAAAGTCGAACCTTGTCCAACAACCGAGTTGTTGTCTCAGGAGGTGGACATTTGATTTCATACTTTGCACAAGCATCCCTAAGATATTTGTTAGCTTCATCACTTGAAAGGTCCTTAGGTATATTGAGATTCGCAATCCTCTCTAAATCCTCTATCATGTCAATCCTTCTGCAATAGTTGGAACCAAAAAAGAGTTATACAAATGTTTACGGCACACATTTATGACTGGTAGATATATTACAAACCTGAATGGTGGAGTAAAGTCAATCTCAATTGGGTCCTTATCAAGCCCATTTGCATGATACTTAATTTTATATCCACCTGTAAGTTCCTTGACCATCCCTGTTTCAAATTAACTATGTTCAGCAAACAAGTCTAGGTTATTCAGGAGAGCAAAAGAAGAGAGGGAAAATTGGTATAGCAATGAAGGTCCTTCTATTGACCAAATTGGTATAGCAATGAAGGTCCTTCTATTGACCAAATTCAGCTCTTACCGCTCAGCAGCCTCTCAGTTAAGTCCATCAAGTCATTGTAGTCCGCAAAAGCCATATAGAATTCACAGGTCGTAAATTCGGGATTATGAGTTAAATCTATGCCCTCATTCCTAAACTGTTTTCCAATCTCATAAACACGATCTAGTCCACCAACAACTAACTCCTTAAGATAGAGTTCAGGTGCAATTCTCATGTAAAGCCTCATGTTAAGCTCATTGTGATGGGTAACAAAAGGACGGGCAGCTGCTCCGCCAGCAATCATGTTCATCATTGGAGTTTCAACCTGGGTGAGGAATATATTTTCAGAAAACAAAGAGCAAACAAAAGATGCAAAGAAGATTTGTTCATAAAATAGCCAAAACTAGAGATATTAATAGCAGATATCAACAAAAACGTGGTTAATAAAAGTTCACAGCATGACAGAAACTAACCTCCAAAAAATCAAGGTCATCAAGAAACTTTCTAATATAAGATATTATCTTCGATCTGGTCTTGAATATTTGTCGAACCTCAGAATTCAGCATCAAGTCCAAATAACGTTGGCGATATCGAGTTTCCTACCAAGAATTATGAAATCAAAAAATAAAATAAACACCTGAAATGAAATATATAAGAGATAGAAATAAAAATGGCAGACTACTTCCATCATCACGGCACAGCACACTAAATTGGGGAAAAAAAATAGAAAAAGCTACAAATTTATTGAGTGAACCAGTATAGATACAAACAAAACAGAAGTGTTGACGGTGATTTCTCGCAAGAAGAAAATAGACAAATAAGAAAAAAAATGCAAGACTCAAGGTTGACTACAAGTGCCAAATGAAATAACATTGACATGATATCTGTCTCAAGGTTGACACAATATATATCATCAAAATAAGGAACATGTGTAAAATATTGGAACCAAAAAGAAAGGAAAAAAATCGACACCTGATCTTTTAAAATATATGTTTCAGGATTCCTGGTACTTCCGGGGACCCAAACATCAGTTTTCTGCAAAATTATATGATGTCATAAACACATAATAAGAAGCGAACAAATTCTCAAGGAGCAAACTGATCGTGAAACTAAGTCTGCTAACCTTCAAATTGGCACTCTCTGAACCTGGACCAGCTTTCTGCCTTGGCATCATATGCAGACAATGGGACAAGACCAAATATGATTTTGGGAAAATACTCAATTCGCCCCTTTTAGTTTTTCCTAAATGAGGTTAAAACATCTCAGAAATTTTTATAATATATCCGATTCATCGACCCAAACATAAACTTAAATGAGACTGAAAAAGGATCCAGATGCCATAAGTCAAATGCTCAACCACTTCAATATCCATACATCCCATGTACATCTGAGGAAGTTATTTCCATTTTGTGAAAATAATTTACAACAAGAGCTAGCTGGAAGCTACAGCATCACATACCTGGAAATCCAGTGACTCCGACAATATCACCACGTTTTACACTTGAATGGAATTTAGAAAATTCAGCTTCATCCAAGTATGACTTGCTGCATTTAAACAAAGAAAAAAAAATCAAATAAATGTCTACCAATATGTGCATGCACTCAAGTCAACTAACAAAAGAAAATTACCAAGCAGAGAGAAACTTTACTAACGAGTTGTCAATTAATTTATAAATTCTTTACTTTCCTCACAATATCAAGAAGTTTCAACTTTGATGTATTAAAGAGTCAATTGAATATTTTGATATTTTTCATAATTAATTCTAGACCCTAATTGATAGGGTTAAACATGTCTATAAAGAAACAAACATTAAGGCGTTGTTCTTTTGCAACAAAACTCATAAAAAATTTAAACTCAAGTTACAACTTTATTCAAGTTCACGTTCTTTTAAGTTCTAACTTTATTCAACTTTACTCAACTTTATTCAAGTTACAACTTCAACTCAAGTTATAACTTAAATTTAACTCAAAAACTACACTCAAGTTACACTCCAAAAGAACATGCCCTGAATGATCAGAGTTTAATTTTAAACCCTCAAAGTTATATATTGTACTGGCTCCAAATATTGAATAAAAAATCAACTAATTGGAGAGTTAAACATTCCTAGGACACCACATCCACAGGCGAAAAAGCAAAGAAAAATATAAAATGATAATATTTAAAGAAAAAAATTAAAACTTTTAAGTACCTTGCATCAGCCATAACTTGAACTTTAGCACCACCACCATGCAAATCATAAAAGAAGAGTTTTGACGAGGATGATCGCTTGCTCATAATTCGACCTTGCATAAGATTTTTTTTTTTTAAAAAAAGCGTTAATTTAACAGAAACAAACACAAAGGAATAATCTCTGTTGCTAAAAAGTTCCAAAACTTTAATACCTGCTAAAGATACAGAAACATCCTCCTGGTGTTCCCCATTGCTTAAGCCTCCATACTTCTCTACATACTCCAGAATTGACATGGAAACAAAGAATTTATGAGGATATGGATTTCGACCCTCTTTCTTCTGCGCTTCGAGATACTTAATCCTGTTTTCAAAGTATTGCTGCAGCAGAAGGAGAAAATCAAATAAGAATAAGGAAATCTTCATAACCCGATGTAAGCTTCTATGAAAAGGAAGATCAAATTTATACCGTAGGATCCATGTCCTCATCATCAGCTGCGGCAGATTTCTTAACCTGGGGGTTCACTGCTGCTGCTGCTGCCTGAAAGATGTAAACAAAATATTTAACATATGATTTAATAATGAAGTAGCAGATATTCTAGAAGCAATGAATCAAACAGGAGCGTTACTAATCCGAAAACAGAAAACAAAAAAGGCAAAATCATATGGTAATCCTGATAATAATAGTTACAACTCATCCTATAACTTCATGCCCATGATTCTATAAATCAACTTACAGACTGACCCTATTCATTGCTTAGCACACCTCCAGTGCTGGTCAGGTAAGGACCATGGTTGTCCATTTCCCATTTTCCAGCCGATATTTACAATACGATAACACAGAAAAACGTCTAATTGTGATGAAAAATATAGAAACACATTAAGAACAGAAGATAGCAGTCCAATTTGAGTCCATAACACGCCTAAGACCTCTTCGTCTAGTGGCAATGGGGGGTTTGGGTGGGATGGGGTTTAAGTGGGGGTTACGGATTCGATCCCGTGTTGTATCAAAAAAAAAACCTAAATAAATAACTCCATAACACAATAACATAATACTAATGAAAGACAGAAATATTAACATTTAAGTCCACATCCTATTCACAATAACCCAAAAAAAAAAAAAATTTATTCCAAAAATGTAATGAAATGCCGAAAAAAAAAGGTTATAGCATGAAATATCCAGACCTAATTAAATTCACCCTATTCACAATTTAACAACGAACACATATTTATTCCGCTTTATACAGTCAAATTTGCTCATCTAAGGAGAGGGAAAAAAGATTAAAGTAGAAAATAGGAAATAAAAAGGCACTTGTTCAAATCGCAATTGTTTAGGGACTATTTCATCTCCTTGGAATTTCAGGTCGTTTCTGATTTTTCCCATCATTTCTCAAATGAACCAAACAAAATGTAATCAGTCGTTAGAAAATGAGTACCTGCTTTGCCTTTTCCTCTTCCTTTCGCCGTCTCTCGTCCTCCTTCTGCTTGTTCTTCAATTCCCTCTTGCGTGCACTGTAAGCAACAGAGAACCGAAACAGTCAAAACCCTAGAAAGTTTTGAGCATTCCGAGTTAAAAACCTGTGGAAATGCTCAAGTAAAACTGAGAAGAATCCACTAGAAAGCCGAATAAGGATAAATACAACAACAACAACAACAACTTGAACAACTCAATTTTACAAGTTCGTTCATTTCCTTCCATTTTCTCATCAACCAAACAGGGGATAACGCGGAGAAATGGTGTTTCTGGGCTGACTTACTTTTTGCTCAGAGTTTCGGAGGAAGAATCCACCGACAAATCGGAAACTGACTTCGCCGCTTGATCAACTGAATCCGCCATTGAGAATAATCGGATTCAGGAGAGAGAGAGAGATGGCGTTATTCTGGTAAACAAGATCAGTTTAGCTTAGTTTGGAGGCAAAAATGAAGCTAGGGTTTCTGAATAACGCCTGAATAGTCTTGAGGAAGCACCATTAGCTTGTTCATTGGGTTGGGCCACTATTTTGGGTTCCCAGCCCAACGTAGATATGTTGGGCATGAGAAATCTTACAAATATCCCTTTAAAACCGTATAATCTTTATTTTTCCTCCCTATCCTTAATTAATATTCTTTTTAATTAAATTACTATATTAATACAAAATATTAATAAAAAATAAAAGATAAAAATTCATATTTATACACTTTTAAAAAAATTCAACAATTTTCTCTTAAAAACAGTAGAGAAGATAAATTATAGATCATTTTTAAAAATATTTTGATAAATAATAGTTACCGTAAACAATTATTTTCTATCTATTATCTATTTATTACTCATTATATTTATTATTACATATATAAAAGTGTCAAAGACGCTTTTGATGATGAAACGTGACGCTTTTGAGGACGAAACGTTTTATCAATAGGGACGAAACGTTTTGTCTGTGAGAAGGGAGAACGAAACGTTCGTTCTTTTTTCTTTTTTTTACGTTTCTATTTTTTTCCTTTTCTTTCTTTTATTTGTTTTTTGGTCTCTTTCCTTTCTCATTTGCTTCTTTAGTCCATAATTTTTATTTTTTCTCTTACCTTCCTTTCTCGTTTGCTTCATTAGTCCCTATCTTTCATTTTCCTATCACTCTTATTCAATCTTATTATCATTTTAGTCATTCCATTTTGTTTTTGATTTTTTGCTTTCTTTCTTTTGTTTTTTTTTTTTTTTCTTCTTTTCTTTCCTTTAGTCTCTCATTTTTTCCTCCCCCCCTTTATCTAATCTTATCATTTTTTACCATTATATCTTCTTTTTTAGGGTTTTTTTTTCCTTTTCTTTCTTTTGTTTTTTTTTTTTTGTCCTCCTTCCTTTTTTATTTGCTTCCTTTAGTCTCTCATTTTTTCCTCCCACCCTTTATCTAATCTTATCATTTTTTACCATTATATCTTCTTTTTTAGGGTTTTTTTTTTCCTTTTCTTTCTTTTGTTTTTTGGGTCCTCTTTTCCTTTTTTATTTGCTTTTTTAGTCCCTTATTTTTATTACACCCAAAATCATTAGTACATGCTTCTAAAGAAGTGTTAGCCCTGTGATACCTCAACTTAGATTTCCTTACCCACACATGTCTAAAAAATTTGTCGTGCACATCAATCTTTATTCTAGGTGTCCTTTTTGCGAAATTCGATGGATTAGGAAGCATACCTCTCTTCAAAGTATTTAAATACTTGTAGCATCTCAGTCTTATGTGCCCGAAAATCTACAATAGTGACATGTAGAAACAAACTTTATTGACTTGTGCCGAGGGGGAAGAATAGTTACCTACTTACCAGGCATAGTTTGAAGTTTAGGAACATGCATCTCCTTCACAAATACAATTTTAGACGTTGAGCTTTCATCAGTGTAGCCAAGTCTATGATGATCACTATCGCTTTTCCTATTAAGAGAATATGATCCAGTTTGGCAGTGTCATAATTCATCATTTTCAATGACTTCTAAGTACTTCCCAATTCAGCCCTGGTCTATTTCAATTTCTTATCCTTCTTAGCAACAAGGAATTCATAATTATCTGCAACCTTCTTCAACACATCCGTCTCTTTGACAAGCTCATCAACTCACTCTCGCAGATACTTATTCATTTCACACACTTTAACCTACTTACAATACATGGTTTTGTATGCTTCCTGTATAATTTCACTAGTGTGGTCCTCATCATCACTGTTGTTGTCAGAATCCGAATCAACTTCGTCCTCTTTGCTGCTCACGGAATTTGTCACAGGAAGTATTATAACACTGTATGCAACACAGTCAACATAAACACCCTGACCAATATAAACATTCTTCATCACTCCAGGTAGCATTAAGTGATTTCTTCTTGTTCTTCTTGAGAGTGTTAGCACACTCGGATTAAATGTGCCCAAATCCGTCGCATTCCTAGCATTGAATTCCCATATTTTTCTTCTCATCATTAGAGGAATTTGCAGTGCCCTTATTTTTCTGAAAGCTTTCATATTTTCTTGAATTTGAAGATTTACCTTTCTCATTAATCTTTTTCAAGATTTTCTCAAAATTCTTAGACAACTGAACAACCGATTCTGCCAAATCTCCTTCATCATCGACTCAAATTCTTCAACAGGCTTTTGGACTTCAGCTTGGAAAGTAATGCTTTTCTCATTCTCCTTGTTTTCATTCAGGTTCATCTCGAAAATGCACAAAGAGCCCATTAATTCGTCTAGCCTCATTGACTTTATATTTTTGGCCTACTCAATAACAGACACTTTGTATGCAAATCTTTTTGGTAACGATCTCAGGGCATTCCTCACCAGTTTTACCTCGGAGTATATTTCACCAAGAGCAAATACCTCATTAGCATTGTCACATAATTTTGAATTGAAATCGGATATTGTTTCATTTTCAAGCATACAAAGATTTTCAAACCTTATAGTGAAAATTTGAAGCTTTGATAATCTGACGGCAGTCGTACCTTCATGAGGAGTTTCTAAAATTTCCCAAGCATCCTTGGCTAATTCACATGTTGAAATGAGCTTAAATTGATTGGCATCAACTTCGTTAAATATGGCATTCAGTGCTCTTAAATTGTTATTTGTCAATCGATCTTCTTCAGTAGATAATTTCTCTTAGGGTTTCATAACTTCTTCTCTGGCCTCATGTTTGATAACAGGGTGCGTCTAACCAGTCAACACAGCACGTCACACCTTCTCATCAATTGCTTTGATGAACGACTTCATACGAGCTTTCCAATAAGAATAATTGGAACCATCGAGGAGAGAAAGGCATGAGACCGCACCACCTTCTTTCAGAAAATCCATTCCTACTACAACATACCAACTCCTAGAATCTCACCAAGCAAACGGTTAGTGAACCGTGATTATACCAATTGTAAGATCTATTTTTTACGCAGGTATTACAAAGAGTGGTATAACACTTTCAGTAACACTAGTGATTAATAGTTATTTCTAGATTTAGCAACAAATAACTAAACGCGCAGAAAATAATGTTGGAAAAATAAAGAACACCAGAAAATGGTATTACGGTTCGGTTAAACAACCTACTCCGCGGGACCATGCCTAGACAGTGAACAATCTACTAAGATAGAATGATTACAAACACTTCTCGGTCTTATACATTCAAAGACTCCCACCTCGATGATGTCGCCGTTGTGATGAATCTTCTCAGTGACCTTGTCTAGCGAGCACCACTCGTCCTCAAACTGAGTGGCGAACTCCCTTCGACTAATAGTGTGCTTCCTCCAGAAAACTTATAATTCTTCTCTCGAAGAACGATCTTGAATAAACTCTCAAGGCTCACGAAATTCACATACTATTTTTTGAAATTATCTTTGTAAACTCATTGCCCCAAATATGACCTTCAATTATATTAAAACCTTAAAACATAAAAGCTCAATATATTTTTTCTCAAAGACACACACCATTCACGTATATATCCCATGAATATATAGATGGTAGTCGTCTATCTCTTGGTCTTTGTAGAAAGTCCAATACGATTTGGACTTTAAATGATATATATAAAAAACCAAGAGATAAACTAATCTTCAAGATTGCTTTAGATATAATTTGGATAAAACAAGGATACTTTCAAACTGAATTAAACATCCAAGCCTGCATTTCCAAGCTTGCCTTTTACTTGCACTTTCACGTCCACACGATGCAAGGTAAATCTCCAATAATCAATTCCTCACATACTCAAAACACAATCAGCTCATTAAATCAATCAATATAATATTCGTCCCTAAAATAATTCTCATATCAAATCTGCAGATATCACCGTGATTTCATATAGCAATCAAATCTCCTCAAATCTTCTTGACATTGCCTTGATCAAGTATGTTTTTTTATAACTCTATAAAATAGAATTACTTTTCTTCTTATTTGCATTTAAATTTGCTTTCTTCTTAAACAATTTATTTATTTTGTTTATTTTTAATTTAGTTTTCTATTGTTTTATTTTATTTTATTTTAGTTGATTTTATTTGGTTTCTAACTCCAATTAATTAGTAATCCTCATTTGTATTTAAATTAGGTAAAAAGGAGCAAGTTAGAGATCAATTGGGGTGCTAAATTAGGAAAAAGGATGAGCAATTAAAAAAAATAAACAAAAAGGAGAGAAGAGAATCCGGATTAATAACTAGACGTTTCTTTCATATATTTGTCTATAATTTTGAATCATGATTCATAATTTTCTACAGTATTTTATCTCATAAAAAAATACACGTAAAACGTAAATCCCGCGCAGTCACTTTCTCAGCCCTTTTTTAGCTGTGCCGGATCTTGTGTTTTGCGCTCCATCTTTACTCTGTGCTCCCTCACACTTCAGCCTGTCCCACGGTGCCACATCGCTTACTTAAAGCGCCCGCCTACCAGACGCTGCCACATGGTCTTGGTGACAAAAGCAGCTCTACTTTGGCTGTTCTCTCTCTTTGGCTCACAAGGCTTATTTAAAGCCTTTTTCAGCCGCAAGACCAGAGGAGAGAACCCCCGGCGCTACAAACGCTTATTCCACAGAGCATAGCACCTAGAAAATAAGAAAAGCCCCGTGGGAAGAGCTTTGAGAAAATATTATGGAAGAAATTTGGGGTCACTTTTTTAGGATTTTTATTTTTAGTTTTTAGGTTTTACAAGAGAGAAAATATTTTGAAGATCAAGAATTAAAGATTGAAGATTGAAGAGTTAAGTTTGGAGCCTGTGACACCTCTATATGGGTTTTTCTTTTTAATTTCTCTATCTATGTATTTTTGTGAATTGAGACGTTGGAACCTTTGATTTATTTTAAATTAATTATGTTTTAGTGTTATTTTGCTAGAGCTCTGATTTAGCCCCACTATGATATTTTTATTTCTTTTATTCGAGTTATTTATTTTTATTTTTTTAAGATTGAGTATTTATCACCATTCTTAATGCTTCTAATTAATTGACCACTGATTAGATTATTGGTTAATCATAATAGAACTGAAAGGGGAATTATGTGTTGAGTTCATTGTGTTAAATGCCATAAATTGCATGTGAGATAG